AATGTTCAGTCTGTTTATTCTCATTATAAAATTTCTTAATTTCAAAAGCAATGTAGATTAACTCACCATCATGGAGCTAAATTGAATTTAACTACACAATAACAGTCACTCACTGACAAAGGTCTCTTTAAAGATCTCACAAAATGGTCACTCCAAATCAACCCAGCAGTTTAAAGATCTTGTTTGTGCGTAACTCAATGTCTCAATCCAAAAGCTTAATAGTTAGTGAGATTTGTATATGCATATGCCTCCATTGAACAATTACCTTCTTGATGGCAATGTTCAGTCTGTTTATTCTCATTATAAAATTTCTTAATTTCAAAAGCAATGTAGATTAACTCACCATCATGGAGCTAAATTGAATTTAACTACACAATAACAGTCACTACTGACAAAGGTTCTTTAAAGATCTCACAAAATGGTCACTCCAAATCAACCCAGCAGTTTAAAGATCTTGTTTGTGCATAAGTCAATCCAAAAGCTTAAAGTTAGTGAGATTTGTATAATGGATATGCCTACATTGAACAATATTACCTTCTTGATGGCAATCTTCAGCCTATTTATTCCCATTAAAAAATTTCTCAGTTTCAAAAGTAATGTAGATTAACTCACTATCACAGAGCTAAATTGAATTTACTGTAACTACCATACACAATAGCATTCACTCACTAAAAAAGATCAAAATATACTATATTAACTTAAAATGTTTATCTACTGCCACAGCTCTGCTAATTGTTCTTGCAATTACATGAACCACACAGTGCTGACCCACTACAATATTCACCCTCTTTTGGTTTTTCCATGCTCTCCTAAACTTCAGAAATCCATTCTTTTTCTTAAAATATTTGATCATATTCATGTATAACCAATCCTTTGCTGCATTCCTATCCATCTCTTTGGCACTAGTTTTATTGCCAATTGCAACATCATTACCCAATTGTGCTGCTTCAATTTCATCTCTCTCTTCATGTTTTTTATCATCTTTATTGACTTCTATAAACACATACTTTTTCTTCTTGTTCAACCTTTCCCTACGGTTCTGCTTGTATTGGCGTCGTTTTTCTTTTAGATGTCTTCCCATGCTTCTAAAATATTAGCCAATATTTTAACAATAATATTTTAACAATAGATGTAGTAAAACACATACACTACAGTAGGCAGATTTTGCAAGCTATAAATGGGTTCATATTAAATACCCAAAATTTGAACACAACAGAAATTTCAAATTCAAAAGCACCATGATAGCCATTAAGACATGGCATGATGGTACTTTATACACACAGCTGTTGCCTGTTGATCTCTTAATGCATTTAGGACTCTTCCCAAAACAGGTGAATTCATTTTTTGGCTATACTCAGTTGCTATTAAAATGATTCACTTCGTAAATGTAATACGTACCTTCGAATGAAAATTCCAACGTACTGTACTTTATATTTGATTAATTTGAAATTTAAATTAAATTAATAAATTTATTTATCAATCAGGTTTTTAATCCGCGGAAAAAAAGCGCGAAGTGCTTAATGAATCTGTGGTCTATTTGATCAGCGGCAAGGAAATGCCATACACTTAGTTTAACAGAGCGCAACATTAGTGTATTACGACTACCTTGCGTCCCTTTGCATACCTTTTAGGCATACCATAGCCTACCTTTAAATTACCTTAGACTACCTCAACCTCGTACCCAGGGCTTGCTGAGATTCAAAAATACTCCCAAAATCTGGGAGAATTTGGATCAGCATTTTCCAGGGACTTTGCTTTTAGCAGCAGGTTTTGAGTACGAGGGTGAGACTACCCTAGGGACTTTAGACTGCCTTAAACTACCGTACTGAGCTGCATATTGATGTTCGATTTCGTTTTTGGCAACACGACGAGCGAGGCCTGAGGAGCAAACTGCGCAGAGGCTGGACCATACTTGGTACTTTTACAAAATAACAGTTGGCAACGCTCGAATGCATTTTGCACGATTAGCATGATAATAGCAAAAAATAACCTAAAAAGGTGTAAGTAACTTTCTGCCATAGCCTGATTTCTGCCATAGCCTGATTCATCCATATGTCCTTTTAAAACGGAATTAGGAATCAAGAACATGCAACATTTGCTGAAATATTTCAACTTTTCTATTTTGTCATCCATCCCTACAGGATGTGCTCAAAGAAGTTGCACATTGGAATACATATCGAAATAGAAATTGCTGAAAATGGGCTGAAAATTTATGTCAAAAAATATTAAAATTGAGTGAAGGTAAAGACGCGTACAGTGTTCTATCTTGAAACCTACTGTAAAATAAACAATGCTTTAGTACCTTTGGCCACTCGTAAATTCACTATATTGGTATTAATAGGAGATTGCACTTGTTCTCGAAGAATTAATGAAAAATAGCATTTGTTACAAATACTATGCTAAACACGCGTTCAATTTTTCATTTATACTTCTCGAGCTCTGCAATTTCCTGTATCAATTTGTAATATAGCGATGTTACTAGCATGTATTTAAATGTCTCTTAAACTCAACTCAACTAACTCAAACTAAACTAAACTAAACTAAACAAAGCTAAACTAAACTAAACTAAACTAAAGCGATTTCTAATTATATATATACAATTTATTTGAATAACCTTATTGGGCATTGCGCGAATTTTGCATGCAATGGTGAGCATTTCAATTGGCCAAATGTATAGTCAAATTCGACGTTTTAATGGACTTAGAGATGTTCTGGCAAATCCGGTCAACACTGAAACTTGCGCGGAACTGGGCACACAATTAAAACTCTCTCTCCGTCAACAACATCATAAACAGGGACAAACCTACAAAAGATCCTTTGCACTGGAATAAAACTTGCACAGCCATCTAACTCCCAGACATTTCTGCAACATACTTCAGTTGGGGATCCCAATTTATGTCTTTGGGGATGTACTGAAAACCATCTTACGGCCGCAAGTATATATTTCACGCGATTATCGTTAACCTCTATACTCTGCTCAAGAATATAGTCAATAACACCTGGTCTAAGATCCGTACCCGCTTTATCAATGACCCCACCAAGACTGCACCATCTAGCCATTATGTAACATGATTTCTCTCCCCGGGAGTTCAGAGACCCAAAATATTCCCCCGCGAAAAAGACACCAGCATAACGATTAAAGTGTGTGGTAACTGATTCTACGTTTAGTCCATCAAATATTTCCATATACACCCTTGTGATTAAGGCAAGATCCTCTGCGTCCAAGCTTTCTAAAGAATATGGACAACGCAGTTCATACACAGTCTTCCTTTCATCGATTCTCCATCGTGAGTCGTTCTTTCGGACAGGACCAATGGCAAGCATACTAGTCTCTATCACTTCTTTTGTTTTCATGTCTTCCAGCTCAGAGGCAAGCGTTCCAGTGTTCTTAATATTTAGTTTTTCAAATATAGGTAAAAACGAATCACCAAATTGAACTGGCAGCTCCAAGTTTCTTACGAACTGTTCGGACGTAAACTTTCTCATTAACTGTACTTCTACTGACCTCTGATTGGTAACAATTTCGCCCAAAAGACGATTGTACCGCTCAAAACTGAATAGCTAAAACGAATATACAGGTCCGTAATCCAAAATGCAGTCGAGAATGTGGGTGTGCATATGCATGTTTGGCGTGACCTTCTCTTTTCCATAAAGATTTTCAAAGCCCTTGCAGAATTTTAAAATGTGCGAGTGTCCCACTTCTGCTCTTCCTTCTGTGATGACAGGAGCACAATACAAGATGCAAGCCATAACAAAATCATGCCATAATTTGAGATGCTCATCTGGTAATACATTCCAAAGACTAAACACTGAAAAGAGAATTGTCCACGTTTTCCACTGATCAGCGGTAAATCCGCCATAACTATTTTCGATTTTCTTAGGCATTCTACCAATAGATGACGGTGCTTTGAGTATCCAACTTTTTCAGGATGTTCATAAGATCCTTCCTTTCAATAAGTGGTGTTTCGCCTTGCAACCAAATATTCTTCATTAAATGCTTGGAAGTTCCCAGAAACAGGTTGTGCATTGGATCGACAACATGATACCGTACGCAATCAAAATAAGGCAACATCATAAGCTCCGTGAACCTTGTGCCATAACGCTGTTCAGCTGCAGCTTGATCGGTCATACTTGTCTGGTTAAGCACTTCTTGAGCTTGTTGTCGATGCTCAGCATTCTTTCTAGGCGGGGAAGGTTCAAACCCAGAAAAATCCATTTTCCCTACTACCCCAAGAAATGCTTTCTTGCACTTGGAGCATCCATTGCGGGCCCCATGACCAGTAAATCCACACACTTTTCGAACGGCAGGTAGATCGCACGCTATACACAATAAGGCAGCACGAATGCAAATTTCAGAGTTAATATTTATACCGTCCGTCCATAACAAATTTAGTTCTGTCACCATGGGCTTGAGGTACGTATTTATGTTCAACGATGGTTCTTTAGGACCTGGAATCAGACCTACCAACAGGACATTTTCAGGCTTAAATCTCTCGCTCCTGGGTAAGTTCATTATAACCAAATACATGGCCCCAACGCTGTAGACGGAATGTTTGAATGGCTGAAACCAGTCCACGTTAAGCATCAAAGCATAGTTATCAGGGGCAGCTAAGAAAGGTTTACCTTCAACGAATTGCCACTCTCGCCAAACACGTCCATCAAAAACATCAGCTAGAAAACCATTAGGAACTTCTCTACTTCTCCACAGTTCACACTTCTGGAGAAATCCATTTCTGCTTATCATATTCTTCAGTGTTTCCGATATACTTTTATAGCAAAATATTTTGAATGGGTACAAATGGCACTTTCCGTTCTTTAACACAACTTCTCTTAATAGCGGCTCGTTACAACGCTGCCTGCGGTGAACTTGGCGATGATGAGGAAATGAAATAAACTGACATTTTTTGGTTTTTTTGCCATACTTTAACTCGTAGCAGTCGTGAAATGAATATAAACTGGAACATTTGTTACAGACAACGTATTTGGTAAAGCTGTCTTTTTCAATGCCAAGATATGTACGTAGCGATGATATAGTAGTTGGAAAAGATATAAACAGCAAACGGTGGAAAGATTGTCCCCAAAACAGTAAACCAACGATGAAGAAATGACAATAGCAACTCCAGTGCAGTTTCTGAAATTTTGCAATGGGCAGCCCATATAGACAAAAATACAAGTGCCCAACGCAAAATATTCTTTACTGGATTAGATGCATTACCTTTAAGATCGTTGGAAACATGTGGTATAGAGTTTCTCTCAAGGTCAACATTGATATCCTCTTCAGAAATCTCCCAAATTTCTGGGTTAATTGGAAATACACGCTCTTTATACAACCACTCTGTATCTGACGAGTCATCATCATCTGAACAAACACTGGATTGACAATCGGATTCTACAAAAACATGGATATGATATTATTGCATGTACAGTCTGTCTAGGGTTAGAAAATTTTACTCGATAAGGGGAAGACTACCAGAAAATGGGTTAAGAAACTACATCGACTGCACCTACTGAGTAATACCAGCTAATGGGTTAAATATACAAATTGTACTGCCTTGTTTAAATAGTACACGGGTAAAAATTAACTTTGGACACATTTTCAAATACATTTTGTGGTCCTCAAACCTTTTTGATCTTTACTACTTGTGTTATACCTAATTTGAGATCACCAGGTCTAATACTTCGTCTTTTGAAATATGTCCATGGCCACTGAGGTTTTCCTTTTGACGTTGCATATACAGGATCACATAGTCAAGGGCAGGGGAACCGAGCCTGGATCCAGGCCAACTACGTCCAAAACCCTGATGCATCAAAGTTCTCAAGCAATCCTGATCATCATAGGCCAGTTGTAAGAAAACTGTTTGGCAAATTGGGTGTTATAAGCCCCCTCCTTAAATATACCCCCCCCACTCAGTGTATATGTCCACCCTAGTAAGGCCAAAAACACACATTTATGCCTGCAAAGATCAAGTGTATACAATTATATAAAAGTAATGTTATGGTGTTTGTCTAGCAGTGTTGTGACTCTATTTAGTCTGATGATACAGTCACCATAGTCCTAGGAAAGGAAAATTGGTTGTACATCAACTGCCTATATATAGATATGACAATTGGCCTATCAACTGTATATCTGAGGCAGTTGTTATTTGTTATGCTGTTATTTGAAGAAACTGCCATGCTGTAACCTGATTGCCTTTAATAGTCCACCCTAATCCAAATTAACAAATACCTTCCTTCTGGCCCATACTAAACATAAAAATACCTCATTTCAACTCCAAATATCTGCAGAAATTGGCAAAATTTATAAACAACAATATCATATAATAATAAAAAACTGCCCTATTGCTAAATTAGGCCTGTGGGTACATGAACAGCTTCAAATATTTAATAGGGAGTAGGGGACACTAATCTAAAGCACATATCCTATTGTTTTCGCTAAAAAATGCTCTTTAAAGAAAAGTTGAGGGGACACAATGTCCCCTTAATGGCTGTACCTTATTATTTTATAAGCCATGATATTTGTAGTTAATATTTTCTATTATTTATGTAAAAATGTCACTGCAGGGCTTACCATGAAAGCAATCCGAACCAACGTCGTCTCCTTTGTCTTTAGGGAACTTTCCTTCACATTCGTCTTGGGAACTATCATTAATATGCTCTCGAATGGAGTGTTCATCTTCTTCATCCGAAGAAACGACACATGTTTTCCAAATACCTGTTTCTTTGATAAAAAATAGCTTTTCGTGCGTACGATATGTTCTTAGCGTAACAAACTCTTGACAATGTCCACAGTACTTTCTTTTTTCACTCATGGGATCAAATATTGATTCGAAGCTTAAAATATATCGATATCGAATAAAGCTAATACCCGTCCGCCCGCAAGCATAATGATAATCAAAATTTGAGATTTAATGTTCATATGACTTTCACGTGTCATTCACGTCGCAACTCCCTGACCGACCAAAGTTCATGATTTGGGAGCAAGGATATCGGATTTGAAATTTTGGCGCTAACTTGCCATGAATTATTCAACGACACACGTACATTGTGTAAAGTACATTGAATTTTACGCGATTTATTTACATCGAAAACGTATTTTGTGCTATGGGGCGACTACCACCAAACCGGCGGAATCGCGTACATTTGTATGGAAAGAAACTTGCAGAGAAAAGTAATAAGAACACAGCGTCTAGTTCATCGAGATCAGCGAGGACATCATGTTCGCCTAGCCCTACAACGACAGACTCGAATATTTCGGAGGAAAATGTCAGTCAGGACACAAGGCGCTTTTCTGACATGATCCCAAACGCACCAACAACTCCTCAGATACCTATGCCTCCCGAAGACAACTCCATAAGTCCTGATCTTGGACTTGAAACGACAACGATTCCAACGACGGTATCCAGCGTTCGCAACACCGTGCGCATAGAAAGTACTCCAAGTTTGAGTAGTTCTGGCAATAGTTTTACAAGGCGAAATCTATTGCCAGAAATTGATGAAGAGCTGCTAGGAACGACAACGGGCTCTTCAAGGCCAAGGGAAGATGAGATTTTAAGACAAATGAGGATATTTATGGCAGCAAAGCACCTTCAACCAGAGACTGTTGAAGTCAATTGAGGAAAAAGGCTCGGAAGGGGGATTAAAACCTGAAAAAAGAAGAACAAGATTGCCCTTAGAATTAACGGTATATTACCTATCAATTTTACTATTTTATGGTACTCTTTCATCTATTATTTAGGGAGAGAATAAAGGTGGAATATAGCTTTCCCTTTGATCTCCTGGCCCATCCACCCTTTTCAGAGGCTGGTTAGTGCACTTTGCCAAGCTGATTTTATTAGATCTAGTCAAGCAGCCTTGCAAATGCAAACCACAGGCTCACAGCTATAGATAGTATATGTATACTTTTCACAAACCTGAATTTGGCTCCTTTATAAGCAGCTTTCACAGTTATGACCCACATGTCAGAATCATTCAAGAGTGCTAAATTTGCATTGGAGTCCTGGGAAAATTAATGTATACAATTTATATCAGCAAGCAGTGGTTTGTTTTTGCAAGTTAGACCACCTCATGTAAACACAGAATGAAATCAGCTTTGTTACAAGTGCAGGTTCAGTTCCAGATATATATAGCATCTCTTAACAGTGGTGGATTTATAGGAGGGTGCATAGGGTTGTAATCAAAGTACATCTGTAATGAGATTTACCTAAAGTCCTACCTTACAACTACAACCCCCCCCCAAATATTGTATGTATCAAAACTGTAGTAGCATAATTACTTGCTAATTACTATCAATTAGGCTTGTGTTCGTGATGTTGTAAGAAACATTGCTGATGATGATGGAAATTCACTATCCTGGGATTTATCTAAAAGGTAAGTTGCCATTATGTAACTTTTTGATCTTTTGTCTGCATTGATCAGATGGTATATTAAAGAGCCCATATTTCTTAATATATCAGAGCAGTTTATTACACTTTTTGCACTGTTGTTATAGTACATGCTCTGAAACAAACTAATGAACCAACTACTAGCTAGAATGGCCTTTTGGCTTATTCCCTATTCTGTGTCAGTGGTAGGTAACTGCCAGTTACCAGCAAATTTGCCAGTGCATGTCTCTTGATAACCATTAGCTGGCAAATTGCAAAACTTTAGACTGCTGGTAGGCTATCACCAGTATACATGACATATGTATCATGGGTTAGTATTTCATTTATTACTCTATTAAGTGCCTGTACAAATATTTTCATAGTTGCATCGCAAAGTTAATTTAAACTCGCATGAAACTCCTTTGGATATCGCAAATTATTTGGCATGCAGATTTGACTTAAATGAGATAACACTGCATAATATGCCTGCATTCTAAAAGCTCACTCAGACATTGATTCAGGAAGGACTGCATCACTGATCAGCAGCACTGTGATGTGTCAGTCACACTCACTAACTGTGAGTGAGCTTTTAGAGCACAGGCGATAATGTCATTATTGACAACTAGCTTGCAGTAAACTGCTTGATAAAGTTGTCACTGTCTCAAATTTATGATCTAATTGATAAGTTATAACAGCTCTTTCGGTCATTAGTACATGTTTGGCAAGGAATGGCATTCTTTCTAAAAACTCAATATGCGTTGTGATATCACTTAAGTCATATGTGTGCAATATTTGCAAATATCTTGATAGGCAAGAAAACTTACATTGTGGTTTTAAATGAACTTTGCATGCAACCCAAGTAATTGTCACAGGTACTAGCGTTATATTCTGTATTATTTTTTGATAGTTTTTTCTATTTATCTGCCTATAAAGTTTTGGAGCAGTAGAAAATCAAAATGTTAACCGTCTAATCATGGCCTCAATTAAAAGTGTCAATGATGCACCAAGTCAAGTTATTAGAGGTACCAGTACTGTACAAATAGTTTTCAGTTACATTAAGAGTAACATTGTGCCGCCATGCCAAAAGTTATGCATTGTGATAATTTTTTTGGGTGAGTGACAAAAGTAGTGCTCAGATTTGGCTACTTTATATGCAAGATCAGCACAGAAGAAAGTTCATTATGCATATTTACTACTTTTAAAAACTAAAAACTCAATCTATACAGTATACATCTTTAAAACTGAAACAGAGTACATGTATGTACATTTGCTGTGCTAGTACCATTTTAACATGCTCCAGCATGCTTTTAAAGCCATTGCACATGTACAGTACTTGTGTTTACATGCATTTATTCACATTTATTATGTAGCGGCAATGCATTGTTATTTCAAAACAAGAAAACGTGCCGAGAAGGAGCAAAACCTGAGTGATCAGTATCTCAAAAAGCAAAGAAATAGAAGTAGAATCAATACAGTAAGTGTGAAATATCAATTTCAGTCTACAAGTTCTCCCTTATACCGAGGGCTTCACCCTGCGAACACAAGATTCGTACAGTTCTTCGAATTACATATGTAAATTAAGGAAGAAATATAAAGAGTCTCTGCTGCTCAGCTTCTGCTGTGTTCTTTATTCTGTGTTAGGAGTTTTCTGTGTTCAGCATTGAAAGAAAAACATTCTGTAGCAACATACATACATACAATCCTCTCATTACTTGTATAGTAGTTTCCATTGATATGTCTCATTGTATCTGGTAGATTTTGCAGTTTGCATGTACAGTTTTTATAATATTATAGTTGTATTAAATAAGATCTATCTTTACCTGCTTACTCTTTGAGGCTGAGACACATCCAATTTGTAGAATCTTTACAGAGAACCTCCTCCTGTGTGCATTTGTAAAGAAGCAAACTTTTGGCTCCTAACGAAATTTCATTATTATATGTTGTTCCTTGTTTAATATTTAGTTACAACCTTTCCGTAAAGCCGTTCGCTAGTATTAAAGTTACGAACACTTACAAGGTAGTCTTGTCATATATTCATCTAAATTCCCCTTAAACTTGTCTTCGTTTAAAAAATTTAGATCTACGCAGTGGTAAGTTTCACTTGTATTTCGTAGGTCGAATTTGTACAACATTCGTCTGAATGTTCGCGAACTTCGTTGCTAAGTTCCCAAATACAAGCGGAAGTTTTCAGTGAAAAGCATGTTGAAAAAGTGACTAAACAAATCTCCATCCAATTTCCTAAATTATCCTCGCTTCCTACGAAATTATTAAAATTAATGTGATTATTTATAGAAACGAAAGCTACGCAAGAGTACTTTGCAGATGTCAACATCGATATCGGAAAAAGAAAAATATGAAAAAATAATGACCAACGACTACATGTCATCAGAATACTCGGTATCCGAGGCATCTGAACGAGAGGATGCGTCCTCTGGTGATAGCTCTTCGGATACCGAACATCAATCAAAAGCAAGGAAATTCTCCATACAGCGATTACCATGGAGAAGTGATGAGGCCAACAAACTGATGGTGACGTTGGACAAAAAAATTGGCAAGAAGAGAGGCAGAAAAGGGGTGTGCATGACCTATGAGAGGGTGAAGGGAAACAATTCAACCCGTCTTGCGCCTTTGGATGCCCCAGAGTGGGCAATCAAACAATGAAATTTTTTTTGAAACATTATTTCTCGTATTTTTCTTCTTTTTTGTACATAATCATAGGTGAATTATTGACCACACGTTTTTAATCTTTAATCGATTTGGTTTTGTGTTAGTTGAATTGTAAGCTTAATTGTAATTTGTAAACATTACTTTAAATGTGCAACAAACACTTTCTTTCATTATAGAAATAAATATTGATACATTACAGTATTAGCTATTGTAGTTGTGATCATGATTATTGAAACTAGGAAATTGCATGTCAAATTTCTGACCGCATTTTTTCCATATGCGTACGAGGCAATTCAAGCAAATGCAGTATGTACATGATCTTTGCCTTATTTTAACCATGTGTAGAAATGTTGTATTTACGAAATATTTCACCACACGTATTTGCAAGGAAAGCAAAACGTGAGCAAATTATTTGTTCACCTCGGTGGCAATTTAAGACAAATATACAATAGCAAACGTCGTGTTTGATAATATTCAAAATATGATGCCAATGGCAAGTAAATATAGCATTCATGTATATTTTCAAGCAAAACAAATAAAACGCAAAATTCGTATAAAACTCGGGAGTAAATCCAACTAAATGGGATATTTAATGACGTTTACGTTATATTTACTTCATGTGCAATATTGTATTTCTTTATATTTACGCTATTTATGTAAGTATAGTATTATTATCCAATTTGCTACTGAGAAAATATGTTGCAAATGTACATCTTTATTTCATCTTTTCGGTCTTCGCAAAAACAAACTTCCCCCTTATTTACTTAGTGTGAAATATGGTGAAAATACCAAATTTGATTTTTAACAAAATATGAGCAAACGTTGTTGATTACGATTTTTACAAAGGTTTACGCTATTTTTACTTTATGTGCTAATGTTGTATTTGACAATATTTAATATGGCTGTAAATGTCATTTTTACTGCGTTATTTGCGTTGGGGAAAATAAGTAGTGAATATGAATGTTTCATAAAACTTTACACTAGGTGTAAACAATACGATAAAAACGGTCTTCCGCGTGTTTACGTGGTGTGTAAATATGCGGAAAAAACAGAATTTGATTGTGCACAAATATGTCCAAACATTGCTGAATATGATATTTACGTCGTGTTTGCTTTAGATATACTATAGTCGTAAATCCAGTTTTTCGTCCAGTGACGTGTGCAGAAACATGGTGGGTCATAGTGGACATTTTTGCGCAGTAAAAAAAGTTTTCCCATACAGAGGCTTTTGAAACATCGTTCTTCTATGCGTTTTTACTAAACCAATTAGTATACGATGTCCATTTTGTCAACATATAGAAAAGCAAATTGTTCACACCTCTCTAGTGGCCGTTCACAAATTACGTGGCGCATTTTTGGCCATTTTTGACACCCCCTTCTGTACACATATTATCACGTTTGTGAAGGCAACGATTGTTTTGGCTGTTTTCCATGTTGTCTGGTTTATGTTGTCCCTTCTACAGCG